CAAACGTTTTGACAACATACGACTTCGTTTTAGGAATTTAATGTCCACATCGGTTTTTTGACTCGGAAATTATGCTCCCTAAGTCACACTCCCTTAGTGGATCAGTGTAGAGTGGAAACCAAGGGCAAAAAACATGTGTAATTCAGATTTGGGGTCCTAAACCAACAATTTAGTCGATTAACATGTACTGGTTTAGTCGACTACTTTAGGAATCTGATCTATCCATGAAGCTACTTGAGGGTTACTGTCGATAAATTCCTGGAATCTGATATCAAAATGAATCTTTGAACTCAAGTACCCTGGAATACAAAAGGATGTGTTAGATACAAAAGGATGCATTATATACAATTTGTACATATTAAAAAGAAGATTGTACCTAGCTTCATCAGGGTTTTCTTCAATTCCACATCTCTAAACTTAGTGTTAAAGTTGCTTCTGATGTGGCGTAGACAAAACACGTAATACGCAAATGGTGGCTGCCAACCGGCATGATCTCTTACAGCCCTGATGATGCTGGGACGACGATCGGATATTAGACAAATGCCATGCTTATGCGTGACGTGAAAATGCATGAGGCTAAGAAACCACAACCAATCATCCAATCTCTCACCCGGAGGAAAAATAGCAAATGCAATAGGGAGAATGTAACCATCTCCATCTTGTGACGTTGCAATCAAAAGAGCTCCTTTGTATTTACCGTACAAATGTGTGCCATCAATTTGGATTATGGGTTTACAATATTTGAAGGCCTCAATGCACTGGTGAAAGGTCCAAAATACTCGGTGAAAGACAGCCTTATCCGTATACACTCGACGTTCATCAACACATTGGTCCGTATCAATCTTGAACACAGAACCCACATTAACCTGCGTCATGTATGTCAGCCAACCAGCAAGAATGCATACGATTTATCCCAGTCGCCAAATAACTTGACAATGGCTTTCATTTTAGCCTTTCAAGCTTTCCTGTAAGATATGTTGTATCCATACAAACGTTGTACCCTCTCTTGAATAAGAACTGGCTTCAATGATGGATCTTCTTTTAACATACCTATATAAAAAAAAACACCGACCAACAGTCCGAATACAAACTGATTAACGTAAACATACCTTAGGAAGTTAGATATATCGAATAATACATACTGATAATGGTTGCACATATCACATCAGAATCCAACTGTCTATGATCCTGGGTAAGACCCTGGTTTAGGCAGGTGTGTTCTTTAACCCACTTACTGACCACCCAAGTATTTCCATTCTTCGGCAACAATGCCCTCACATACCAGGGACATCCATCATTATGGTGTCGACACTTCATCACAAATCTATGGTCATCACTTTTTGCCACAACGGCAGTACGGTGAGCCTTCATACAATATAATTTGACTGCATGTTGCATTTCAAATTTGCTACGAAACTCCTGATACAAATATAAAGGATCCCCTAATTGCCAGCCACCGTGATCATCATCGTCACCATACAATATCTCTGTCTCATCATTAGGGTGGGCCCAATTAATGAAGGAATAATGTGAGCTTTCATTCCAAAATGGCTCGACCTCAGAACCTACGGATGCATTATAATGCCACCGTCAATACCATTCATAACAAAAAAAATAATTGCTAAATTAAATCTTTAAAAAATGAATCTTACCACTGCTAACAGGGTCAACACGAAGTGGTCTCGTAACCTGCGAACTCGGGGATGGTGAGCTTGTGTCAGCGTCGAAATCACCCTCTACGTAAGTATCTGACGTGTCACCTAGCGGAATAACACTCTCAGGTTCACCGTCCTCATCGCTATCCATATCGACATCCTGTTCATCCTCATCTATTTCCCGCAGTGTTATCTGACTTATGACAGGTGCAGGTGCAGATAAATCGACTACTCTTTCTTCATGACCAAAATACGGTTCACTTCTTGTATGCATGGGTGCAGATGAAGATTGACCACAATCTAATTCAACATATATCTCAATAAAATTTTGAAATTTTCGGTCAACAATTGCATCTATGACACATTCGACATCTTCATCATCACATATATCGTTACCAATGTAGTAAATAGCATCCTTACCAACTGTAGTCTCTACTCTGGCAATCATCCGTTGAACGCATTGGCTGCCTTGCAGACCCAATTTTTGCTGAATTCTCCCCTTTAACTCATTGTATGTAGTGCCCCGTTTGATTTTCAACATTTTTGTTTTTCCTTCAAATTGAACACCATTGGGGCCTTCGTAATGCTTTCCATCATAGTAGATCATTGACACATACATGTTTGGACTTGTGCTCATCTTCCTCACGAAATTGGGACTAGGGTTCTGAAATTGGGGGTTTGGGTTCGGATTTTGGGGGTTTGGAATTGTGCAATGACAATGATTTCACAATATTAGGTTTGTAGAGATGGTGGGATGAAATACAATCGGATTGAGAGGATTACACATGAACAAAGGGAGCTATTTAGGTTTACACAACAACAACAATCGAAATGAGACCGAAAACATGGAAAATATAGGGTTTCAGTCGATATTTAGTCGACTAAATATCGTGCCTTAGTCGACTAAATATCCCAAATATTTAGTCGATCAAGATGATTTTTTAGTCGACTAAATTTGGTGTAGTCCACATTCTGAATTTTGACCATTTGCTCGACTAAAACTTCAAGGTAGTCGATTAAAAGGGGGCAGGTTGGTGGATAGTTCTGGATCAGGGGAAAATTGATTATTAATTAATTAATGAGGGGCAAAAGGGTCAAAAAGCCTACAAAATTAGGGTTAATGATTTAGTGACATAAAAATATATTATTTATTATAATAATATATTGGGTCAGCTCACGGGCTTTCTTGGACTTGTTTGCTAAACAAACTTTTTTTAAAGCTTGAGCCCGTTCTATTTATTAAACAAGTCAGGCCAAGCCAAGTTTAAAGAAAGCCAAGCCTTGGACCCTTGACAAGTCGCTCGGCTCATTTACACCCCTACCTGCACAACACAGCTCAAACCTCACACATTAGGTGAGTGTGTTTGTCTCACACCGTGGATCCCACTAAGGCAAAACAATTATTGCTCATTCTTTCATTGATCATTGGAGAATCTTCCTCACCTATTTATGGATTTGGATCATCTCATATGGAAAAGTGATCATGTTGTCAAGTTATTTGATCACAACCACTCATCGTTGATGATGAAATAAGAGAGAGAAAAATGTATGATTTTTAAATGAGTGGTTGTAATCAAATAACATGACCATTTTTTTCCACATGAGAGGATCCAAATCCCCTATTTATACCCTTATTCAACCATTGAATTCTACACAATATTCAGAGTTACGTTGCTGAAATCAAATCACATAGCCAGAGTGCCCTCACATTTTCCTCTTTGCTCTCAGCATAGTTTTGGTCTATAACACTGCTTCATATATTACTGTTATATTAAGATACTATACCGCATCAAGGGAAATAGACTCTGTCTCACCATCTAAACAATTCAGTAACCTAGATGTCTATCTTTCCAGAAAGGTTAAAAAAAATAAAATAAAAAATCCTTAACCTTTGTTGTCAATCCTCATGGCAAATCTTTGCAATCATCTAATTTATTTCCAGGTTGGTATATTTCCAGATACCGAGCACAAAGTAACGCAATATTTTGAGGAAGGGGATCATGTAATGTTCTCTTGAATTTACTTCTTCTAGCATTAGTCACTTGTTTACATGTCGGTCATATTTATAAGAAAGGTTTAAGCATTATAGTCTGTACACTTAGTTTAACTATTTATTGATTTAATTTGAATTTCATAGATTATAATATTAATAGTCATGGCAAGCGTAGTCAGATTCATCTTAATCTTTCTTCTATGTATTTCAAAATCAACTGCAGGTTTTACTGGATGAAGCTGCTTTAGCTTCTATTACGGGAACAGTGGATGACTATTTGGACCGGAATGCGGAATGTTACGAGAAAGCAGAACTCCATGATGTCACAAAAATTCATATTTTACTTTGATTAATTTATTTCAGCAGGCTTGCTTCCTTCTACAGGCTACAGTTCCTTTCTATTTTGGCATTTACAGATTACAAAGAGCTTCACATGCAGTTTCTTAAAATGAATAAATAAATAATAGAGGAAAATTGTACAATTTATTCAGCAAGTTAACCCTAAACTTAGATAATGATATTGTTATTTATCCATGATGCTTATGCTAGCAAGACTAGCATTATGCAAGATATCTTCTCCATATGCCATTGATAACCAATGTATGTTTCACTAATAATAATTTTTCAGCAATGGCAAGATTGAGTGCTGTTAAGAATGGTACGGGGAGCCCAAAACCCATTGCAAGGGATACATCCATGGGCCAAGCGATAAACCACAATAAGTGGACCGACACCACATTTTAACCCAAAACCTTAAGGCTGTAGGTTTATGGGTCTTTTTGCCAACATCTTCCCCTCAAGTATGAGACCCAACATCATGCTCCCCCTTAAGGGCAACTTCTGAGGAAGTCTTTGTTCTTTAAGTATTGGAGTCACACTAGCCTTCTGCGGAGGCCTTGAAACATCACCATCTCTAAATACCCAGCCCAGCCAAACCTTTGGCTCTGATACCACTGTTGGAAATGGTACGGGGAGCCCAAAACCCATTGCAAGGGATACATCCATGGGCCAAGCGATAAACCACAATAAGTGGGCCGACACCACATTTTAACCCAAAACCTTAAGGCTGTAGGTTTATGAGTCTTTTTGCACTTATATAGTCACCACTTGGTCTAGGTCTAGCCAATGTGGTACTTCATTACAACTCATACTTGAATACTTCCAACATCTTCCCCTCAAGTACGAGACCCAACATCAAGTGCAAGGTCACAAAACTTGGAATCGACATTTAAATGGATTTCTCACAGCTGAAAACTTGAGTAACATATATGTACCATAACAACAATGGTGAATGCCTTTCATAATATGAACTTTCGGTTGTTAGTTTCAGGCATATGTACAAGAGCAAAACACCCAAACACCAATCAACTAACTTGACTCCCTTCAATAAAATATATTAAGGAAATACAGTTTTCCTTCTTTAGGTAAGTACTGTACTGAACAACACTACAATTTATTATGTATAAGCATTTCATGTCTTCAAGGGAAGGGGTGTTTTTATGTTGGCACTTTTCTTCTTTCTCCATAATATCTTCTTCCACAAACTTCCACTTCCCGGTTTCTTAGAAGGTACAATGGCCAGAGAATTAACAGTAGCGCTGACATCCTGGCCTTTAATTTCATTCAAAGCTAATATCTTTTCCAGGGGCTCTATAATGCCTGGAATGGTGATAGGGTTGGAGTTGCCATCACTTGCTTTTGAAACCTTGGGTTTAGTATCCTCTTCAGCCAGCATCTGATCAAGTAGAGATCGATTCTTCACTTTCATAACTTTTGGGGTGGCAGGGCTTGGATCCACATTCATGGTGGTACTGGTCACGGCAATGACATTGTCAAAAAGGGATGCATCCTTTGGTGCAGCCAATGCCTTCAACTGCTTCCCAAGGTTAAGGATGGTTTCTTGACACTCAGCCAACTTTTCCGAGGCAGCTGTTATCTCCAAGTCCTACAGGAATGATCAACACTCTTCAACTCAATGCCAACACATGCACAACAGAAATGAATTTGCACAGGTGAGTAATCATATCATAATTTAATTACACAGCATAAGCATTGTTAAATTTAAACTTATTGCCGGTAGATCATACACTAGGGTAGATAGTTCCTTTTTTTTTCCTAATATTGTCTATTGTTCTGATAAGTACTCTCCAAACACCGAACACATCATTGGGGCTTTATTTTCATTTATTTGTATCCACCTGTAATGCTTTGAAGAATTCTGCTTGAATGATTTCCTAAAGAAACTGAAAGTAAATTTTATATCATTGCTTCATACCATGGATTGCTTTTTAAAACAAGAAAAATATTAAGGAGGAAGTGCTTTGCTTGGGTTTTATTGGCTGGTCTCAACAAAGATCATTTAGAATGCCAAGATAGTCTATTTTTTTAGATATGGAGCCAGCTCTAGAAGCTGCCTAATCTATAGAAAACTCTATTAAGACTGACCCAAGAATGAAGTCTGAAGGGGCAGTATAAATTATAATAGAAGAGGCCTGGTGTTTACTCTTTTCAAACCATATCATTCAGCCATCATTTATAAACTGTTAGGAAAAAACAGGAGGATGAAGTGTTCTACTACTAGTCACATATTTAACAGTTTCTTTTTTAGGATATACTAGAGGAGTTTACTCTATAATCAGAGCATACAGAAAGTATGAAGACCCTGTTCATAATAGGAAATGATATCATAGATGGAAACTTTAATTAGGAATTAGATGTGCCCTGAACGTTTATGTTTCCTTGCAAGTTGGAAACTGAAGATACAGTGTACAAGTAATATCATTTTTTTCCTTCATCAAAGCAGAAACATATCTTTTTGATAAGTTCATATTCTCCTCTCATTCAAATTAGCAGGAAGCACAAAATACCAATTGACATAGAACAGCCAAGGCCATGGTTGTGTTTATTTCCAATTAACTTTAGCCAGTTGGAACCAAATCAAGGTGCAACAATTTCAATGTCACACTTCAAATATAGAGGGAGCAAGAATAGATACAATAAACTGAATATTGTGTGTTATGATGTGATTACCAAAAGACAAAATAATAAGTCTAATTTATGCTAAATAAGGGACTCCAAAATAAAGAAAACAAACTGTGAAATATATTGAAATATGGAAACCAATCCTAAGGATAATCTAAACTATTTTCAGATATAATCTTAATATTATACGATATCTGCTGGATATTGTAACAGTTTCAGAGATTTATGTATTGGATATTTTGCTCAATGCCTGCCTTGCACCACATTGGGATCTCTAATATGTAGTTTAAGAAGCAAGTTAACCTACGTTAAAGTTAGAGGAATCATGCTTCGTCTTGATTAAATATTCCAGAATGTCATGTAGGAAATAACAATCTGAATATGAGTCAAAACAAGAAAAATGAATAAAATGAGATGAACTTACAGAACGCAGTGGCTTATCTTTCTGGTTAATATCATGGTTTGAGCACTCCTTTGAGATGCTGAGAACATTAATTTGACATATATCAATTAGAAATCAAAAGCTATATGTTCAAAAACAAAATTGCACAGAAACAAATATTTAAAGATGATTCATACTTTTCAAGCTGGAGCTGCAATTCAAGACATCTGGTTTCTAATTCTTCACAACAGTGGTTCTTGTTCTCTAGTTCCTCTTCTAATGCCAAAACCTTGGGATGAGCCTCTTTTAATTCAGCTTCTGTACGCTGTGTGTCAAGATCTGAGTTTTTCAATTTGTGATTTCTTATTTGATCCTCAAGTATGCCATTGGATTCTTTTAAAGATTGTAACTCTAATCTCAAGCTGTCAATAGTTTTCTCTGATTCCCCAAGTTGATTCATTAAGGATTCAATCCTATCAGTAGCTGATTGAAGTCTCCCCTCCAAGACTTCCTTTTGAGATTCAGTGCTGATCAATTTATCTTTAATATTTTTCAATTCTTCTTTCTCATTATAATACATCTCTCCAGTCTGAAGATCATGACCATCCAAAGTAGATGCTTGAGGCAAACACGGCACCTGTACTCTGGGAAGACGCAACTTATCTGCTTCGGCAAAATGACTTATCATCCCAATCTCTGCTTCACTTTCACTTCGTGTCTCATCCCAATCAAATTGTTTCTTGATGGCATCCCTCATACTAGAAACATCTTGAAGTGAAAAGCAGTGATTCATAATCCATTCCAAAGCTGTAGTTAGTTCTTTGGCAAATTTTTCATGATCAACCTTGCCATTCAGTAAATCATAACACACATGCAGAAATTGCTGTAAAACATTACTGAGTTCAGATGTTTTCCACTGGAAAACACGGACCATGTAGTCCGTTGACATTCCTGGATTCTTGTATGATATGATATTGCCATCTCTTACGCACAAGGGATCTGAATTATCATATTCTACAGCAGGCAGGCTGATTCTTTCAATAAGCTCAATTATCTTGCCTATTGATTTACTTGAATCTACCTGAGATTGTTGTTTGGTTCTCTTCATTGATGAGATGTCAGCATTATTTGCATCAGTGGATGGATATACCACCAAAGAATTATTCAAAGGTTTCCATGCAATGCAGTTATTCAAATGGGGAGGATCAGATGCATCAGCATGACCAGAACCTTTGCTTGAGTCAAAGTCACATGGATCTGGATTATTCAGATACCTCAAAGCTACTCTAATATCCTCAAGTATATCATCAGGGTTTTTGTGAGTGACACAGCTTTGTTCCGAGACCATTTTTACTACATCCTGAAGCCAATTGGGAATATTACCCTTAGATAAGTCAATGGAACTGGTTTTCTGATTTGATGGTGAGATATTTGAAATGTGATCAGACACTGGAATGATCTCCTTACCTACTGCTTCAGGTGTAGTCTCATTTTTCCTGGTCTCTGAGAAGCCATTATTCTCATTAACTGCTTTGAAAGAAACACAGGAGATATCAGGGGCTTTTTCAACAGAGACGACTGCTAGTTTTTCCATTTCAACAAAGTCATCCATAAGATTTATATCTGAAGCTCCAACACTTTTGCATGACAACGATTCCTTCTGTTTTCCGCTTCTGAAGTGATCCAATTCTGAAATCAATGCAGAAGCCCAGGATTCAGCACAGCTAACCTTGTCATCACTGCCAACATCAGACATTGATGCCAAAGAGAACTCACGTGATGTGAGGTTACTTCTCGGCTGCTCCACAATTACTTGACCTTTAGATGATTCTTCAACTTGTGACTCAAGTTGCAGAAGTTTAGAAGCTGTGCGAGACAGCATTACTCTTGAGAATTGGAGCTCATTCATTTTCCTGTTTAGGGATTCTTTTAAAGTCTTGTTTTCTTCTTCCATAGCACATAGCTGCTCAGTCAGAGCATTGATTCTTCTAATGGTAGTCTCAGGAGAACTGTCAGCTGAAGATTCAACCATTAAACTGGTTGAGTTCAACTTGTTCCTCCTCATTTCAAGCGAGTCCCGTCCCAACATTTCAACTTCATTTTTCATTTTTACCAGGGCAGCGGGACCTGGTAACCGTTTCCGAACTAGAACGCGCAGCCTCTGACATTCTGATTCTAACTTGGCAATTTTTTTAACAGACTCTAAATGTTGCTTGTGAGAAGCATCAGCTGTCCGACGATTAAATTCTCTCTCCTCATTCCGGATCTCAAATTCCTTTTCAAGCACTCGAATCTCATACTTCAGAGAGGCATTATCTTTCTCAGTGGAATCTAATCTAATCATCAGTGCACTATGATCTGCCTCAGCTTGAGTCAATTGCCTTTTCAGATCTTCAATCAAATTTTCTCTTGTGAAAATGGATTTATTGAGATGAGAATTTTCAATCTCAGCTTTTGTAAGCCTTTTACTTGTCTCAGATAACTGCTCCTCCAAAACCATGTACTCTTTTTCAAATTCTTTTGAAGCTTTCATCACAGCATCATGAATCCTATGCCCTTGTTCTTCACGAACAAAACGTAACTGCTGCATACATTCCTTGAGAGCTCCATCCAAATAGGATACTCTTTCTTCATAAACTAATCGCTGCTGCAAAGCTTCATCCAGGTCTTGCTTCATAGACAACACTTCAGCTTCTGCCTTCTCCCAACCTTCACAGCAAGATTTTATCAGAGACCGGTAAAACTACTCGAAAAATACTTTACTCATAAGTGGTTATTTACTTATTTTTCATGTCCCGGGTTACAAGGAGACGGGCAAGGATATATGAACACACACAGACATGCATGAATGTTACCTGCCACTGCTTCTTGCGCAATTTTTGTTTGTTTCTTCACCAGCTCATCTTTAGCATTACAGTCAGAAAGTGCTGAAGCAAGCTTATTATTTATTCTTTTCAAGTCTTTCTCCAATTCTTCTTTATCAGCTAGAAGTGCCAGTACCTAAAAACAGATAAGGTAAAACAAGACAAAATACCAGTTATTTTCATCAAGTAATAAGCCAAAAACTAAATTTCAAATAGTTCTGGATGTCTGGTGAATAGGTACAGCCGGAATTATTTTGTCCATTTTATAATCATAACGATTCAGCACAAAGGAGATAAATGAAAACTTATAAATTAGCACTCCCACCAATAAGGAATGAGATATTGTTAATTGATGAAGTACTAAATTAGTACTCTAAAATAGGTAAGACAACTGAAGAAAAAGGAAGGTTACAACCAGCCAACTTAATTATGATAGAAAACTGCAAAATGAGAAATTTATATAAAGTGATCAGAATAGAATAAATGACGTTACAAATAATTAAATTACCTCTTCATTTTCTTTTGAAGTGAGATTGGTGTTGTCAGTTGCTATAATTGTCTTTTCTGAGGATTTTTTCCTCCAAAGCCACGTTTTCTGATCCATAATGCTAAGGCTTCAATTGGGTGGAGCCTGCATAGAGTCAAGGCAAGTGGATGGGGAGTGTACCACTATAAGTCTAACTGGAAGGACAAGTTCATCATAGAACTGAACCAACATAACAATAATGATAACTTTTCTACTCCAATAATCTGGAATTCTTTACTTCACTGTTATTGTCAATAGCATTAAGATCTTCATTGAGAAACACAATATCAGTAATCGTCCCTCAAGAAAATAAACGGAAAATTAACCGTACGAGTATATTGTCATATCATGGTTGCAGAGGATGTAACTATAAATTATAATCATAAGGAAAATATTAGCCTCGGAAATATAAATTACCAACCTTTTTACATACTCACATGGTGTTCAACCAAAAACTTGCTATCACAAAATACAAGTTCTTACATTCCAGAAAGAAAAAAAAAATTAGCAAAAAAATCTAATTAGATGGCACCTCACATCTCATAAAATCCAACACAACATGACAAAATATAAACCTGCATCTCAGCCGACAAATAATTCACATGCAACTTAGAATCACGAGGAAAATGTTTTATTTCCCTTTTTTCCATTAAAAGAATAATAATAAAAGTTATGCAAAGTCTTTTTGTGGGAAAAAAGAAAAAGAAAAATAAAAAAAAAGGGGGGTTGCTATATATTGTTTTGTTATAGCTAAGAAGGGTGTGTCTGCGGTTTCTCACCTCTATGAATGAAGTTTGAGGTTGTGGTTGTGCATGGATTATCCAAAAAGTCAAAAGGAGGATAACTGAGCTGCAATGCTGTCCTGCAAAATTGAATATAGGAGAAACGAAATGGTTAGAACATAGAAGGGTGAATGAAGAAGCGTAGCAGTAAGAATCAGTTGAGAAGTGAAGTGAAGGGAAGGTTAAAGGTTAAGACATCAAGAGTTAACATGAAAATGGATATGATGTTTGATCTCTCACCCAAGCAGGGAAATGAGTGAGACTCGAAAATGAGAGTGTGAGTGAGGCGACCACAACAACCGCAACCAGCTCAGCTTTCTTTGTAGAGTGAGAGAGTGTGTTTGGTGAGCAAGAAAAATGAATAAAGAAAAAAAAGGGAAAGAAGTAAAAATATGGAAAAGTGAAGTGTTTGAGTCAAGTGAAAATGACATTGTAGAGATATTTGTTTGTTTTTTTTGTGTTGGTGAGATGGGTGAACTGAAATGAAAATAAATAAATATATAAATAAAATAAAAAAGAGAAAGAGAAAGAGATAGAGGAAAAACAAAGGCAGAGAGTACGCATAGTGTCGGCTTGGTGCTTTTATTGGATCTGCGACAACACGAAAGTCGAGAACGGGGAGAGTACTTTAGATGCAAAAAAGATGATAAATTTTCAGATACACACCCTCCAAGTTACGAGATACAATTATATAACTCATTTTTTTAATATCTTTTATTGATTATTAAATAAAAATTTTAAATAAATTTTTATTTTTTTAATCTATTGAATGTATTTTAATAATTTATTTATTGATTATTGAAAGGATTAATTTTGGTATTATATATAGTAGCAATTATAATGTAGCCATATTAGTTTTGTTTTATGCTTTTTTATAAAATAATATCTCCATAGCATATAACCATTTTATGTTAATAAATAATATGAAAGGATGATGATTTAATAAATGTAAAATTATTTAATCAATTAACTATTTATTTTTATTTTTTACTGTCTTAGTAAGTAGATAGTTGTAAATAGTTAAATAATTAAATCAGTTTGATAATTAGGTAAAATCATGTTTTCGAATAAAATTTATGTCAATTTCGCCTGTGTGAATAACGGGACTATTTTGTTATCATAGACATGTTTGATAGTTGATGATATGATTCAAATAGTTTATTGATAAACTATTTTAAAATATTTAAAAAATTTATTATAATAACAAAACAAAAATCTGAACTTTTAATAGATGGACCAAATAATAAACAACTTTGAGTTAAGTAGTTGAAGAATATCTTGGAATATTACGTATTTAAAGAATGTAAAAAGAAATTGTAAAATTAAGAAACGTCTATAATTATATGAAACTGGTGTTTGATAACTTGTTAAAATATTGATACTAAAAATATGTACCATAACAATATAATATTTTTAGTACTTCATAAAACTCAAAATATATATATAAAGAAGGAAGAGATATTTTAACTCTACTGTAAGATTAAGAAATCTTACTTCTCATCTAAGTTATTGATTTTTGCCTCTCTCTTTTTTGTAAACAATTTTTGCTTAAATAGGGAAAAAGTAATTCTACGTTCCGGAGATAAAGTTATCTCTGATGAGCTCAAAATGACATCGTTTTGGGTTATAAGATTAAAAAATTATAATGATAAAGACTAATATAATCTTGCAATATATTATAATTACAAAAATACCTTCATTTTCATCTCAAAATGACGTCGTTTTGAGCTAACTTGAGATAACTTTATCTCCGGTGACTGGAGAAATCCTTTACCTATTTAATAGATATATGTGTGTGTGAATTTAATATTTCTCTTGTCATAGGAGATAAAATTATATTCTATGTCTTATGACAACGTAGTTTTAGGATGAGGAGAAAAAAATTAAAATAATAAAAATTAATATAACCTTATAATAAATTATAATTATACAAATATATTTTTCTTAACCCAAAGTTAATTGTTTTGAGATCATAGAGAATAATTTTATCTCTTACGACAGGAGAAATATTATTATCTCTAATGTTATAAAAGATAAAATAAAATAAAAATAGATCACATATACTTTTATATATGTGTAAAAAATAAAATTATTTTTTATAATATTAGAAACATTAAATCCATTAATATATATAATTTTTTTTCGTTGTACAGTAAGATATATAAATTTAATCCAAGTTAAACTTCAGATCCGAGGCACCACTGGCATCTGCCAGTGCAACTTGCCTGGTTGTTAATGAGTTGACGGGATTTTGTTGGGCCTATCAGCTGGTTTTGCTTTCATCAAACGGACTGGAAGATAGTATGTCTTATTCCTTTTCATGAACCATCACGCGCTTAACAATATCTCAGGTACCCAGCATTACTATTTTCTGATAAATAAAAATATGTAAGCAATGCACCACTCAATACTGAATCCGCTAAAAGGTTTGAAAATTAATTGACAAAATCTGGTCTTAATATTCTTGTAACATTTTAAAATGAAAAAGTGATTATCAACAACAACAAAGAGAGTGGTTTTTTTTAGAATAATGGGGCATAAAGAGTCAACCAAGGTGCATTGCTTCATACTTGGGCTTTACTCTTGGAATCCTCCTATCAACACTTTCTTATTCTTAACTTCATCAATAATGGTGATATTTATTCTAATTGACTAATAAAGTTGACCGGTGGACCCTAATCTGCCTCAAATGAGCCCAGGCTGTTTCCACTCCAATTAGCTTATGTTACAATCTTTGGCTTCTTTTAGGGCAGATCTATTGCATATCACAAATGCAGAATAATTAATGTACAATAAATATAGTAATACTATAGTGGTGTACAGTGGGCAAGTACATACTTTAAGGGAGGAGGGTCATTCTCTTCTGATTAGGAGCAGGTGGCATATTTATTGATTCATACTAATACTATAGTGATACTTAATCGAAATCACATTTAATTTATTAATACCTTACTCTAATATTTATTATTAATTTCATTCTTATTAAATGGTTCAAATTATTCTATTAATAGAGAAAGAGAATAGTATACTCTTATACCAATGAGGATAGAGATTGAAACTCATGGGAGCTGAGTAGGTGGATGTGAGATCATAAGAACATGTATTTGATCATCTCTAGCACTATTTTTAGGGGTGTCAAAATAGGTTGACATGACACAAATTTGACACGACACGAATACATCAACACTAACACGACACGAATTTGTATTCGTGTCAAAATCTTCAACACTGACACGACACGAATTTTTTGTGGATTGACACGACACGACACGAATAACACGCAAAATAGGGATCAGAACGGTAATTGACAAAAAAAAATTAAAAAATGGTTCAAAATTAAAAATAATAATAATAAATATGGGTCGACACGAACACGACACGAATTTTTTACGTGTCATTTTTTCTAACACGAACACGACACGAATTATTTTACGGGTCAACCCGAACACGAATTTTCGTGTCGTGTCGCGGGTCGACCCACATGTCATAACCTATATTGACACCCTTAACTACCTTGAGGAGGGGTTTAAAGTTTTAATTCTGGACCCACACCGAATCGGACTAGTCGTAAAGCGATGAACCGGTTGGAATATTTTCATAAAAAAAAGAGTTTCAAAATTAACCATTGACAATAAGAGATATTATGATTGTTAAGGCATGTTTGGTACATAGTATAGGATAAGGACTGATAGTATAAAATCTGATAGTATAAGGCATGATTGTATAAGACTTGAATAAATTTTAATATTATCCAACGTTTGACATTATATTGTATAAGATAATATCATTCAATGTTTGGCAATACACTGTATAATACTAGATAAGTTAAAAATAAATATTTTTGTCAAAAATACCTTTTAATAATGAATTTACATAATTCTTCCAAATATATACGATGATATTATTTTTTATAGAAATATGTTGATCAATGCGTCCAAAAAATATATTAATTTCTATAAAAATAAAAATCTCCAATATTTAAAAAAATTATATATTGAAAAATTATTTTTTATTTTAATATACTAATATTAAAATAGTATACTAATTCTTGAGAATTGCATTGGTTAATACATCAACCACTTATCAGGCCTAATCCTATCCTCCTAGGTCTGATTAAGTGATACATCATTTTGATGTACAAAGAGATACTGTTGTATAAGCTTATACAATATGATGGTCACACCAAACAACTAAAAATATCGTAACGTATAGTATAAACTTATACTATCAAGTCTTATACATTACACCAAACAGGTCCTTAGTGCTATTAATTAATATTAAAATTTATTATTAAAA